GAGTCACAGTTCGCTGTGATGCCTTCGCGCTCCATCTGCTCCTCCGCGAGGCGCAGCGCCTGTCGCAGCATGGCCCCGCGCCTCTCGACGAAGCGAGCGTGCTGGCGCGGACCGAGCATGTCAACCTGTATCCCTCTCCTCTTCATCTCATCCAATAAGTGCGTTTAGCTTGGGTCATTCCGCCCTCGCCGTGCACGATCAAAGTCCCCATCGAGCCGAACTGCTCGATAGCGGCAAGCAGCGTCCGCTCGCGCTTGGACATGACATCATGACCTGTGTGCCACCCTGAGGCACAATAGATCAGGTGGAGGATCAGGCGATCCATGTAGAATAAGATATCGCACTCGACACGCTGGTTGAATCGTGTTGAAAGGCGGAGTGTAGGTATGGTCTGATGTGCAGGCGGTAGCCACTTGCGACGCTTCCTGCAGCTCTTGACCACCGTGGCGATGCAATTGGAAATGTCCTGTGGTATGTTGGCTGCTCGTAGTGCTCGTGTCATCTCCATGGGGGCGTGCCATCAACGGAGTTGTACCTTGCGCATCTACCGCATGCACGTTTCACGTCAGGAGATAGTGACGTCGAAACGAGTTCAGTAAGATGGCGTTGGGTCGCCTGCGGCTGCATTGGCAAATCGCGGTGCTGCTCGGCGAAGCTCTGCATCGGATGCTGGCCTAGCTCGGATCCCTGGTCGAGCGACGCAACCGCCAGAACCAACGCCCAAAACTCCCATCTCGGGTCGAGCGACGCAGTCGCCTGAACCGGTACCATCAGCGCCAACGCTGGATGACAAACTGGCTTCTGACCCTCCTGCGGGCGCGGGCGGTAGGGCTGCATTGTCTGATGGTCCGAGGTCTGCGCCGCCTTGTAGCTGAGCTTGCATGCTGATCGCTGGAGTGACGTGGCCCTTCAGGTCGCGCCGGCGCTCGCGGGGGCTGGCTGGCGCGCGGGCGCGGCCGGACATTGGGGCCCGCGAACGTGCACTTGCAGAACTCGTGAACGCGCGTGGGGTGATCGCGTTTGCGTCCTGGAAGCCAGGACCCACTCAGTGGATCGGCGGGCTAAGAGGGTGGCGGCGCGCTGCTGGATCCCTGGGGTGCATTGGCGAGCCTGTCCGTTTGTTGCTCTTGCAGCTTTTGCACGCCGCGTTCGCGTAGCGTGCGCGCTCGGCTGCAACTTCGCGTCTTATCTCTCCCTCAGCGGCGCCGGTAGCCGCGGCTTGGATGGCTGCCCCTCAGACGCTACATTCGCGAACGCAGTTCACGAGATACGGACGCGGCACGCGGCGACGTTAATCCACCGTGCCCTGGACGAGTCGATCGGCCATCTTCCGCGGCCAGATCTGGGCGTCGAAGCCGTTGAGGCCCTCGACGCGGACGCGCGCGCTTGCATGGGCAGCGGAGCTTGGACATCTGCTCGGGGATCTCCATCGCGTTGGTAACCAGCCCAGTGGCCTTCGTCCAGATGCCTCCGTGGCGACCCAAAAGCCCAGGCTGGCGCTGGTCAACAAGGATCTCGTCCGCGCTCGGTGCTGCCAGCAACTCTGGCCATGGCGTCTCGGCGCGCAGCCGCGATGGTTCGGGCTGCTCGTTGGCGAAATTGCGGCCTAGCTCGGTCTGCAGCTGTGCCGGGTGGCGGCAGAATCGGCCGCGCGGGGCCGCGCCCCCGTAGGGGCGCTGCCACGCGTGGTGGCGCCGCTTGCAGTCGAAGGTCGCCCAGCGACCGAAGGGCCGGCAGGCGGGGGCCGCGATGGCTGCCAGGGGCCGACGTTGGCGAGCGCATCGCACCCCGGCTCGCTGCTGGCTCTCGTCGCTGAGGCCACATCCATTTATGAGGTCGAAGCTCTCGCCAACCCTGCGGCGGCGGACAGCTAGTCTGCCAGTCCGCGCCTCCCGACCGCGCGCCCCAATGATGTCGGCGCCGTAGTCGAGTAAGGCGAAGTGGGTGAGGAGCTGGCGGATGTCGTCAAATGCTGTGCTGGCCCCAGACTCGGCGGAGCAGGGGCACTCGGCGGACTGCGACGTCTGGGCGCTCGCCAGATGGTGATCTGAAGCCGGGGGCGACGAGCCCCGGAACCGCCGGGTGGGCAGGCCTGGCGCGAGGCTGCTCTGGAGGTCGTCGTCTTCGCACTCGTCCGTTAGACCCGTCTCGCCAATTGCTGGGAAGCCCAGAAGATCTGCGGCCAGACCTGCGAAGTCGGCGCCGATTTCGTCGCAGTGGCCCCCCGCCACCTGCTCGCGTGCTTTTGGGGCGCGGCCCTCTTTTATCTTCTTCGTCCGACGCGTGCGCTCTGCTCCGCGGCGGGCGCCGACGACGCAGTTGTCGGGCGCCTCCCATGGTCGTCCTGTATCCTGACCTGAGTGCGCGAAGTCGTTGTGCACCTGGCCCCGGGCGTCGTGCTCTGGGCGCTTGCGGCTGCCAGCTGGGCAGGGTGAGGTGTTCGAGTCTGGCGCGCAAGCTGCCGTCGTGCTGCCTTGCAAGCGCGCCCCCCCAAGTGCGTCTGCGGCAGCGCAGCGGGATTTGCTGGCCACTAGGCACTTGGGTCGCAAGTCGCCAGAGCTACTTGAGCTTGATGTCGCACCGGCGCAGCTGGTCGTTGATGGGCGCCCCGGCAAGCGCCGTGACGGCAACGCTGCCGTGCTCGGCCTCTGGGACAAAAGGCTTGTGGCCAGCCCGATGCGTGCTAGAGCGGAGAACGCGGGCGTCGATCATCTGCCGCGCTGCTTGTCGTTTCCAAGGCGGGCCACGCCGGCCAAAGACCACTTGCCTGGCTCTGGCATCCTTGACCAGGGCGCGCCAGTTAGGAAGGGACTTGAAGACGCGCTGAGCCTCGCCCCTATATTCGCGTCGCCCGTGATCATCAACATGCTGCAGTCAGTGCCGGGAAGCGCGCTGTCGGGCAGCGTCTGGATAGCAGACTTGAAGTCGGCGGTGCGGAAGTCGTCGAATACGCGATCTTGCTGCGCCAGGGTCGCGCCCCTCCTCTCTCTAGGGACTGGGCGGGACGTCCTGCGGCCGCCGCCCATTTCTTCTGGGGCAGGTCGGCGGGGCCAGCCTGGCGGGCGGGCCTAGCCGCGCCCCGGCGAGCCCTCCATCCTGTGCACAAAGCGTCTCAGCTGGCCCGTCGCGCGGGTGAGCTGCTGAGCGTTCGCGGGGCAGGCCATGTCGCAGTGTTGCGGGGGCATGGGCTGTTGAGCGTTCGACGCTCCAACTGCGCACAACAGGAGGAAGCTGAATCCTTCGTGGCTGATCGTGAACTGACCAGCTTGCTGCGCCCGGTCGCGAAGGGCGTCGAACCTCGCCAGGAGGCGGTCAATGCGCTCCTGCGGCAGCCGAACGAAGTTCATGAGCCGATGCTGCCGAGGCGCGTTCCTCCTCGCCCAGCTGGCGCCATCTTGCGGCCAAGCTGCGCAGTGCGATGGTCATCGTTTGCGCTGGGTCGCCGTTGATGAGCCCCCCCTGGGCCCGGACAACTGACGGCCATTCGTCCACGCGATCACGCGCCATGCCGGCAATGCGCGACGAAACGTTGGCCCCCTGGCGAAACTCATTGAGGTCTGAGTTCGCCGCTGACAAGATCACCACTTCGCGCGCCAATCTCTGGAAAGGCACGCGAGCTCGGTGCTCAGGCACCCGGGCGCAGAGGTGTCGCGCGTTGCCGCTGCCGCCACCTGCGCCCGCGCAAGCGATGCATCATTCGATGGCGCACGTGCCGATTCCGATGGCCTTCCATCCAGAGCGTCGCAGAGGTGATGGAGGCGGGGGGTCCTCAATCGGCGTTGCATGACTCGCCGAAGACACTTGCCCCAGATGTGCTCCTTCTCGTCAGCGACATTGGGCATCTTCTTCTGTCGCGCCACTATGGCACTCGCGGTAGTCAGAGACTCCCGTGACATAATCACGGGGATGCTCTTCGTACGTCGCGTGGTCACTGCAATGAACACCATGAATTTCACGGCCGTCTAGAGGAGCGCGGGGTCCTGTCCTGCCGGGCTAGCGGGTCTGAGAAGGTAAAGCGAAGGGTTGGGTCCCGAGGTGTGATGCTTGGGAATGAGGGCGTCCCTGTCGCCATGCCCTCCACTGCATTACCTCGGGAAGGTGAAAACGCAGTCCCCATGTTCCCCACTGCGTTACCGCTCGACACCGGCGACGCAATCGCCGGATGCCACTTTTCCTTTTGCTTCTCCCAGCAGGGCTCCCGAGACACAGTCGCAAGAAGCTCGGGGCCTTGTTCGGACACCGCATATGTGAAGATTGTGTCGCACACCTCTCTTACACTTGAAGCTACCCCACGGGCGGGGGCACTGACAGCTTGGGGTCCGCGGCAGGCCCGGCCACAGTCCGAACAGACCGAGCATGCCCGGGATTGCAGCAGTGCGGTCCTTGTAGATCTTGGTGATGAAGTCCTTGATGAGGTGCACATTTTCGGTCACTGCTCCTGGCGGATGGGCGGATGCCCCGACAGACCTTCCAGTAACGTCCCCTGCCGTAGGGAGCGGGAACAGGTCCACGGACACGGAAGTGTTGAAATCAGTACGCACGCTCCTTGCCGCAAGTCCTGGCGGACGGGCTGGTGCATTCAGAGGGGAAGAAATCCACGAAGGCATAAATGTTGAAGGCGGTTGTCCGACGTACACGGCGGCGACGGGTGGAAGCCATTGCGGTCGACGCGAGTCGAGACATGGCGGCCGGTGGTGGGAGCAAGGGTGAGCCTGCTCCGCTACCAAGTGGAAGTGAAGACGTAAGACAGCAAACGATGCCTTGTGTGAAAGAAGTGCAGCGCATCACGGTCTAAGCCGGAATGTCTACTGCGCGTCTCAGGCGGGCCGTGTGCACTGATCAGGCCTTGAGCCGAGATAACGCAGCGGGACACCAAAGGTGAGAAACAAGGCGCTGGAAAAAGAGCAACCGTTCGAGTAGGAGGAGGAGCAGCAGGATGAGGAGCAGGAGGAGGAGCAGGAAACGCAGGCGGAGCAGGGCGTACTGCTCGTCGTCCAGCCCTACGCCGGCGCGGGTATGGCGACCCCGTGGTTGGTGGCCTGCAAGAGCGCCTGCAGCTGATGCACGGCCGCGGCGGATGGTCGCAGCGACTCTCTCCTTGAGTGCAAAAGAGGAGGAGCATGGGGGAGGAGGGGGAACGGGTGTCCAATATCCCAGCATCACTGGGCCTCAACAAGAGGCTCAGCTCCTGGTGGATATACCACGCCGCGCCAAGTAAGCATCGATTTTCTGCTGCAGAAAACGAGGAACGCACCAATGTCGACTGGTAATTTGACTGAGGTGCCCCAGGGTTTCTGTGGGTCCCCAGGGCTTCCAAGGCATGCGAAATTTAGGTGGGAAGCTGCTGGCAGGCTCCTGATCGCATTTGAAATGAAAATGTACTCTACACCCACTCGGTCTGGCCAGGAGCTGACAAGTACAAAGGCATGTGGAGACTTGGCGTGTGGAGATTTGGTTGTGGACCCCTCGACATCCGCCACCGTGCCTGTGGGCATGGAGTCGGAGTGCCCTCAGGTCATTGACCTAACCCCCTAAGCCTCAGTCCTCAATCCTGAAAGGGTCTCCAAAGGGCCCGGAACCGAGATTGCCGAATCTCCCGGGACTTACCGCGATTCCCCTGGGGTCGCCCCATGACGGGCCAAGCGGGCCCAAGAGGACGCTCAAGATAGCCCCTCAGACGGCGCCAGAGGCTTCCATGACGCCCCAAGGGGCCTCCAATGGGCCTCCCAATAAGCCTCCCAAGAGGGCCCCAAATCATTGATTTTCGCATGTGCTCATGTCTTGTTTGGCTTTGTCGCATTTTCAACTCTCCGATATTCCCAGACGGCCCAAGAGGCCCCCAAGATCGCCCCATGACGGCCCAAAGGGCCTCCAAGATAGCCCCGGAACGGCCCACGAGGGCCCTAAGCCTGACCAAGAGGCCCCAAAGACTGCTCCAAGAGGGGGCCCAGATAGGGGACCCGAGCGGACATTTCAACCCCTCGGCCCCGAGAGGCCCCCAAGAAGTCCCAAAAGGCCCCCAAGAGGCCCCGAGAGGCCCCCAAGAAGCCCCCAAGAGGTTCCCAAGACACCCTAAAGCTGCCCCCAAGAGGCCCCCGAGAGCGCTCCGAAGAGACCCCAAAAAGCATCCCTCATAGCTCTAACCCACAATCCAAGCACGATGGCGGAATGGGCCGAAGGCCATTCGATACGACATCCTGACAACAGAAACCAACGCGTTGTCAAAATCACTGTCGGGAAAGAACACGAGTCCGCCTGCCTGAGTGATTTGTCGATACGGTCCAGTTGCGTAGGTTCCTGCGGCTCGAAACGCGGGCGTACCAGACTGGTTGTTTCCACGACGCCCAGATGTTAGCGCAATGTAGCATACTGTTAAAGACACAAACACGACAGTGACGAATGAGCAATTACGTTTCTTCGACCAGAAGCATCTGGATACGACGATCACAGAATCTGAAGCACGATGACGCCGATGCCGAAGAGCACGTCGGGATCCCAATGAACCAATCATCGCCCAAGGAACTGCTGCGTGACGCCGCCTCCCCCCAGATTTCTCAATCGTTTATGGCAGTACGACATCGCAGTATGCAGTGTTCAACACCAGACGGCCCACCAGGCACCGAAAAGCTCTCCTCTCCACTTCTTCACCTCTTCCGAGTCCTTGGGGGAGCCACACACATGTTTATATATATATATATATATATATATATATATATATATATGTATACATACATTCCTCTTCCTCTATGTTTACAAGCCCGGGCGGGGGGAAAATGGGTCCCCCCCCCCAAAAAAAAATGACTCCCGGGATTCGGAAGTTTGGGACCCTTCGGACGGGCCTCGAAGCGGCCCCCCGGGCCTCGCAGGGCGTTTTGCCAATCCTTCGCAGCACACCTAGGGCGATCTGGGGGGTCATCGGAGACGTCCCAGAGAACCCCAAGACAGCACAAGAGCGCTCCACGAAGCCGTCATACCCCGAAAGATCGCTGCAAAACGTACCAAGAGGCCTCCAAGAGCACCCCCAAGAAGGCCCCAAGAGGGAATAATCATAGATTCAACGTAGGTCTTTGGTGAATTTCGGGTTCTCCTCTTTTCGGCTTCCCGATACTCCAAGACAGCGGTCTTCTGGGCGTCCGAAGTCGCCTGGGAGGCTCCAAAATCGCCCCGCAACTATCCGAAAGGGCTTCCAGGCAGTCCAAGAGAGCCCCAAAACGGCACAACAGGGGTCCAAAATGGCCCTAAGAGAGCCCCATGGCGGCCCAAGATGTCCCCAAAACACCCTTCGAAGCATTCCAAACCGTGACCGGGGCGTTCATGGAGACTGCGGTTAGAGGCAGGTTGGCCTTATCAAGCCCCAGAGGCCCCCAAAACACACCCAGGAGGCCTCCAGAAGGCTTTAAGAAAGCTTGAGAACTTTGGCGAGGCCCCCTGAGGCTCTCCAAGGAGGAGCCTCCGCAAAAAGAGCTGAGGAGGATGGGGATAACACCCAGGGTATGGCGAGAATGAGGACAAATACGCATGGAGGAAGGATAACGAACAACATTATTATAACGGCGATGCCAGAAAAGGCAGCAAGGAGTTATCGCAAAATTGTTCGCTTGACCTTCCTGTCATTTCCGCCTGCATACCAATCTTCAAGGACCAAGGTGCATGGCGCGAAGCGCCACTGCAGTCTTGTATATATATATATATATATATATATATATGTGTGTGTATGTATGTAGATATATATATATATATATATATATATATATATACAGTGGCGCAGTGGTGCTTCGCGCCGTGCACCTTGGTCCCTGAAGATTGGTATGCAGGCGGAAATGGCAGGAAGGTCAAGCGGACAATTTTGCGATAACTCCTTGCTGCCTTTTCTGGCATCGCTGTTATAATAATGTTGTTCGTTATCCTTCCTCCATGCGTATTTTTCCTCATTCTCGCCATACCCTGGGTATTCTCCCCATCCTCCTCAGCTCTTTTTGCGGAGGCTCCTCCTTGGAGAGTCTCTGGGGGCCTCGCCAAAGTTCTCAGGCTTTCTTAAAGCCTTCTGGAGGCCTCCTGGGTGTGTTTTGGGGGCCTCTGGGGCTTGATACGGCCAACCTGCCTCTAACCGCAGTCTCCATGAACGCCCCGGTCACGGTTTGGAATGCTTCGGAGGGTGTCTTGGGGCTATCTTGGGGCTCTCTTAGGGCCATTTTGGACCCCTGTTGTGCCGTTTTGGGGCTCTCTTGGACTGCCTGGAAGCCCTTTCGGATAGTTGTGGGGCGATTTTGGAGCCTCCCGGGCGACTTCGGACGCCCAGAAGACCGCTGTCTTGGAGCGTCGGGAAGCCGAAAAGAGGAGAATCCCAAATTCACCAAAAACCTACATTAAATCAATGAGTTGTCCCTCTTGGGGCCTTCTTGGGGGTGCTCTTGGAGGCCTCTTGGTACGTTTTGCAGCGACCTTTCGGGGTATGACGGCTTCGTGGAGCGCTTTTGTGCTGTCTTGGGGTCCGATGACCCCCCTGATCGCCCTAGGTGTGCTGCGAAGGCTTGGCAAAACGCCCTGCGAGGCCCGGGGGGGCGCTTCGAGGCCCGTCCGAAGGGTCCCAAAGCCCCAAATCCCGGGAGTATGGTTTTTTTGGGGGGGAAGTGACGGGTTTTCCCCACGCCCGGGCTTGTCAAACATATAGGAAGAGGAATATGTATATATATATATATACATATATATAAACATTTATATATATATATATATATATACACATGTGCTGAGGTATGCGCGACTTCGCCCGAGACTTGGTGTACATAGTCTGTTGGACGTCTCGCGCTCGCGAGCCTACCCCGAACAGTGTCCACAGTACTGCACGTGGCGGCAACTGCGACCGGAGGCTGCTGGTCGTGCTCCTGCACCCGACCTCGACACGAAGCACGGTCAGGCACTTCTGCTCCGCGCGCCGCGGCGTTGGCCCCGGAGGCACGCCGTGCTTTTTGCAGGCTGGTGGCGTGTCGCTCTGCTTCGTGGGGGGGGCGATTATTCGGGGAAGGGAGAAAGGCTCAGGAGGAGGAGGAAGGAGGAGGAGGAGGAGGAGGAGGAAGAGGAGGAGGAGGAGGAGGAGGAGGAAGAGGGGAGAGGAGAGAGGAGAGAGCCGAAGTGCCCCCCTTTGGGCCCTAGAGGGCCCCATTCAAGACCGGCAGGGGCCCCTTTTCTGCGGCCCTCGCTGCCCCTCCATGCATCCCTCTCGGAGAAGCTCGGAACGCTGACGCTCGGGAACAGGGGTGCGGTTCGCGTGCTGCGCCGAAGCCTGGTGGGTCGGCACCAGCGGCGCGACACGCGACGCTAAGGTTCCTGATTGTTCAGGGGGACCCGGAGCTCGTTCTGGGGGCCTTCCTGGAGCCAGTCGTTCCACGCGTGCGTCGGTGCGTCGGTGCTGCGTGAGCGTCCGTTCACCTGGGTCGGACTTGAGTCGAACGTGAGACGAGCTGGAGTCGAACTTGAGTCGAACCAGGCTCGAAGTAGAGTCGAGCAGATCTGGTTGGTCGGAGACGAGCATCTAAGAAACATGTCCTCGACCCAGGGCCTTTCGGAAAGGCCCTGGGGTTGAGCATCCGTTCCCGAGGACAATTTCCTCGGGTGATGAGCTGGTCCCGAGAAAAGGCCCTTGGCAGGGGTGATGGGCTGGTCCCGAGGAATGTTTCCTCGAGACTAGCCCATCACCCCTGCCAAGGGAAAGCGGGGAGAGGCCCAGGGACCCGCCGATATACAGTCGTAACGCTGTCATATGGAACCCAGAATAAGGAACGAGGCTGCTTTTCTCCATAATTGAACTTTGATGCCCCATAGAAAATCACCTCAGGAACACCTAAGACAAACTGCAAACAAGTTGAGGAACACTGAGCCCTTCCCCAACAAAAGCGGTTCCTTCCTCAGCGGCCGGACTGTATCCAGCGACGTGATGTTCTCAGCACGGGGCTCCCAGAAGCCCAGGCCCCCTACCCAAGGGAATTGTGAATCATCCCCCGGGCCGTTGTTCGAAAACCCCAGGGCCTGGGAGAACCACCCGTAGGCCGAAACGGAAGGCAACTTCCGCGCTGATGGCGCCAAAGCCGTTGCATGTTTCA